AGAAACCAAGAAGCACGCAATAGAAAAAGAAATACAGATCAGTGTTCAGTCATTCACTAGTGTAGGGTAGCTAACCATAAGTGGTCTTGGAACAAACATGCGCGAGGAAACATGCAGGAAAAGAGACATATATTACTAGACTATGGTTTAACAACCCATTGATCGTAGAAAGTTACTTTTTACAATCAGCAATCAACTTAGAATAACGTGCTCGAATGCCCTACGCAACCGCCAATAAGCAGAGTCACGAAAGAGGATCTCCTGTCGTCAAGATCTTCCCGCAGTGCTTACAATTAGACACCCTAGAATAACGCGCTATAGAGCGAACCCGCGACGCAACCGCTCACATGTAGGGCTTGTCGGGTTATGTTGTTTAGGTTCTTCTGGCCCGTTTGGTTATGTTGTTAAAGTTCTTCTGACCCAACTTAAACATTATAAAAAATCCTACGTTTTCACCACTGTTCCAACTACACTGTACCTTCTTATGTCCGCACTATTTACGCAATATTACACCATCTTCATACGTAGGTATTAGGATATTCTTGAGCGCATTGATTGACCTTTTGGTGATATAAAATTGCGGTTGAGTGCTACTAATCTATGCTGTTGCCGAGGATTTGCGTAATTCGATTTGTCTTTTTATTGTTAGGTCAGAATGGGTCAATTACTTGTTGGGTGTAGATATTTGTCGTGAAGGCTTGATGAGAACGGTCTCTTGCCGAAAAACTGCGGAATCTTTTGATTTGGTGGAAATGTAGTCTAGGGGGGGGGGGGGGGGGGGTGAGGGAGGCACCTTTTTGTGCTCTGCGTCTCCGACGCCAGGCAGCAGACTGCATAGAGACCACGCTAGAGCACAGAGATGGTATCCAGCTTCTAATGCCTATAATGGTGCGTTTCATAGCTTCCTTTAAAGTTATAAATACTTTTTTTACCTAGACCTGAGAAGGGAAGGAGCTCCGGCTAGGTGAGCCAATTGGATGTTTCTTACCCCATCCCAGCTTCATGTTCAATTCTTACCCCATCCCAGCTTTTTGCTCGAGATAATCATCTGACCCACCCTAGAGCTCTCCCTTACCAAAAGTTAGGTAAAAACAACACTTTTCTTACTGAAACCCATCTCCAAGCACAGGAAAGGTTGGCTTCCCCTCCTCTACCCTCTAGCCATCATTCGAAAGAGTGCTGGCCCTCTCCCCCAGCCACATTTTCATCTTTGACTTTTCAGGTAGTCGTATTTTGAAGGCATAGTTATGCGAGGGAAACGCGGTGGTGAACAAGGTTCGTTCCGTGGTTGGTCACGGCAAGCTCGGGATCCTGCTTTTTTTGGTAACAGCAGTGCAATGGCTCGTCGGAACGACGACACGGTAAGTTGGAAGCTGTGAGCATTGCCATTTCATTAATAACTTTTAAAATCCAGAACTAAATGAATCTGCGCAGGTGAATGTTCAGTGGGGTCATCACTCCTCTTCAACATAAGTGCTTGGAGCGTGCATTGGTAGTCGGCAATGCTTCTAGTCATGGGAATTTGTTGAGGAGAGGAGCAACGGGGTGGATGAGATGATTAAAGCTGGGATGAGGAAAGATTTGAGCATTCAGTTGACCACTGATCCAACTCCTTTCACGAGTTGAAGCAGTAGCATGCTAGCATACCATTCCAAAGATGGTGAAACTTCTCCCCGATTTCCCATGTTCCTTTGCGGCATGAGGGAAATCTTTTTTATTTTTGCGCCTTCAAACTGCAATGATCGTTCAGCCCGCCTCCCGGCCAGTCGATAAGACTTCATATTTTTCGTTGACTGCCTTTTTTGATTGGTTTTGATTGTTTCTATTTTGATTTTGTGTTTATTACACTTGATTGTTCGGGATGACTCCTCCTCTAGTATCGACGATGAAGACCGCATTGGGATTGATCGGCAAATATCGATAATGAAAGGACTCCCTAACTCACAGATTGCGCGCTCCAATCCCCCATCGCACTCCTGCCATGGGTTGCTTTCAGAGTTCACCGATGTGCCCTCCGACAAGACGGATTTAATCGTCCCGTAAATGTGTGACGCAGGGGTGCGCTTCGTTGCGCGTGTCCGTCGAAACTAGGTCACGCCGCAGCCGTCGCACGCGGCGAGTCGGCCCGCGATATTTGACAGACGTCGCAATTGTCAGTGGGGCATTCGCTTTGCGTTTGGTCCACGGCAGTCAGTTCAACAAGAAGATAACACAGACAAATGCTAATCATTTGCTCCAATGACACTTGGTGGTACTGTAATGTCATCTCGAGACCACAGTGTGATGCGCCGCGCGCGAAGTGGGCGGGGTGACCTACTTTCGACGGACACGCGCAACGGACGTTCTCCCTTTGAATCATAGCGAATTTCGCCGCGCAATTTGCCGCGCGCACCCGGAATCGCACGAATCGAACGTCCCCCGTGACACAAGGCCTACGGACCACTTGAACTCCGTTCCTTCAAAGTTGCCGGATGCGTCATTTTTCTGCCCTCGTCTGGCCTTTGATGTAGTCTTTGAGTGTTGTGCTCGCCTGTCCAATGGGACCCCTACCACCTCCATCCGGGGTGTTTTTCTCTGCGCTCTAGCTTCTTGCCGTCAGGGACGCAGAGAAAGTTCAAGTAGTCACGTAACCAACCCAAACACACGCTGAAGCGCCTCCAAAACACCCGTCACATATGGTTACCCGGAAGAAGCCCACGGAAGTGGGTGGTGGGTTACTAAGGGGTACGGTGTCACACATTCATGGGACGTTAAAATCCCTCTTATTGCCTTCCGTGCGTCCGACCTGCCGATCGACGGTGTTGCTGGCTATGTGTTTAAACTGGATGCCGACGAAAAACGTGCCAGTCTTGTCTCTTGTCGCTTGTCAAGATTCGGTCGCTTTCAGACTTCGACGTCCGTCCGTCCGTCCATCCGTGCTGCGACGGCGGCGCCAGATATGCGTTGACAGCGCTGGGTCACGTGCCCGCGTTGCCAACACCGACTGCTTTCATAGTCCGTCGCCGGAGACGGCGCTCAATTTGTAAACAAGTGGTAGCGCAGTCTCCGGCCGGCGCGCGCGCTCGGGGTCATCCGGTGGACTACGAAAGCAGCCCTGTCTAGCGCCGCGCGGTTGCAGTACGCACGCGACGGACGTCGAAGTATGAAAGCAACGGGAGGCGGTCGTTTGGCGCGATCTCTCCCATCGCGCCGCCCATTCGACGCGGTTTGCGAGCTGTGCAACTCGTCCATTGATTGGACCACACACTGCCCACTCAGGGCGATCGATGGGCCGCTACTATTAGGCGCTTCGTTGTGGATCTGCTTGTATTCTACCTATCAGTATGGCGTCATCGATCGGGCTTCTATCAGTTGAATGGTTGGTGGGTTGCTCGATCAACTGAACGAGTTGTCCAGCTCGCAAGCCGCGTCGAATGGGCGGCGCAATGGCAGGGATCGCGCATAACGACATACACCCGAAAGCAACCGGCAAAAGGCTAGCGCCGCCGTTGGTCGCACGGAAGGCACACCGAAGAACTTTGAAAGCAACCATACGTGGCGGGNGTGGGGGGGGGGGGGGGGGGGGGGGGGGGGGGTGCGCCCCCTTCAGCAGTTATTGAAAGTGGCCGACATTTCTATTGTATCTCCACAACAGAGAAAATGAGATTGTGTCAATCTGAGAATACCTACTGACGGCATCCACAATACCGACACCGGTCGGCCGTTCGTCGGTATTCCGTAGGCCGATGACTCTTCCTGCATTTATACCTTTCAAAAATGTCGAAGTGAAGAACAAAACGGGCCTCAAGGGGTTCCTTGTTGCCAATAGTTACATGAATAATTATCGATCGTAGCTCGACATCGAAAATCGTCAATGTTAACATATTGTTTAGAATTAAATTGCAATGGGTCAAAAAGCTTGTACAGCCTAACAGCAACTGTTGAGCAATTAAAATAGAAGATGCAATCAGTTAGTTTAAGGTGCGAGGTTAAATAGGTATTTCGTCCCTCGTCTTAAATATGTTGAATCTTACCTGAGTAACCGGCTTGCGCTACATCGATTGATTACAGATGCCGACGCCGGCGTCGGTATCGGTGTATGAAAGCAACCAATTCGCACTTCTCACGAGGCGAAAGTACAAATTTCCACTTGTTTTTGCAATGAAAAGTTTAAGCAAGTGAGCTTCGAGTTGCGAAAATAGGTGTTATGAAGAAAATCTTTTTTCAACTTGTCAAGCCATTGTGTCTCCTTTACCTTCAATGGGTTGCTTGGTTTTCTCTGGCAAAAATTGATAGGTCCTTTCACGAGAGTGTGTCTATGCTCAACCATCTTTTAACAACATGTGTGTTGAGGATGACGTCGATTTGCTTTCATCGCGTGTAAGCGGCGTCCAGCTACTACTTCCACGACGAGACGAGGATGACATAACGTCAAATCGAGAGCAAAGAACTAGCAGTGCAATTCCGAAAGAACGCAAAGGGGGTAAGCTTCTTTCGGTACTGTTCGCGAATCTGTCTATATATAAAGCGGTAACTTTGTATTTCTGGTTATATGCCGGTTGGTTAGGTTTGTTGCTTCCATCCGCAGAAAGTCATGTAGGCACGATGAGGATTGCGAACTGTCGCGTGGCGCATGCCAACAAGGTTGAGGAACATGTTTGAAAGAGGAAGTCTGTTGATACTGTTCGTATTGATCTCACTGACCAATACGGCTCACTTGGTGATGCGCCGCCCGCGTTAGCGTGCGTACCGCTCTGGTGGTCCCTTAATATTCTCTCTCTGTGTTATAGCACAATAGTTTGGCACCCCTCATAGTCCGAAATGAACGGTTGAATATGAATGGGCTGTATTATCTTTGTAATGCCAAAGAGCGCATCCGCTCGAAGGTGTTCCTTTTTGTGTGTCCTGATTTGTTCCTTCGTTCGACAGCTTACTACCACATTCCTGGGCTGCGCACGATACCGTGAAACGAAAGAAAAGAAAGAAGAAACGTTCTCCCACCCCAACTAATGACGTTATTAGTCGTCTATTGGGAGCGCACATTCCTATCAAATTGTACATGGCGACCATCTATATTCCTTTATGCCCCCATAATTAACCGAAAATATAATATTAACTGAAAATCAAGAAAGGGTCGTAGTCGTAGAACCATTCACAATTTTCCTCTTAACCCCCTCACCACTGTTGGAATATCTGTACTCTAATAAGATGAAAGGGGATTTATTTGCTCTTCTATCATTTACACGCACCCGTCCAAGCAGGTATTTGATAACATACCGTTCTAGGATCTTGGTGTCATTGTCTCGTTTGATGGAATTCTACGCAAAAATGATGAGAATGTAATCGTAGAGGTTCTAAACACATCTTTGTTTTTAAGATATAAGTGCTTTGCACTGATGAGACAAGTGGGCGTAAACCTTTTGACCCAGCTGAGGTGCAAGAAGTTTGTTAGAGATAGCCGAATCGCCCGGATATCGCAGGGTTCTCCTCCTTCTTATTTTGAGTTTGAACTACCGCACTGAGTCCCTTCCAGCATATCTGTGTGTTGGCTGATATCCACGCACCATAAATCCCACCACACGCTGAATGCTACACGTGTGAAAGGAGCTATGTTGAGAATTAACGCTACACAATCTAGAAGCCTTCTAGATGAGATTGTCGATCTCGGATTCCCGTCTTCCGCTTTACCGCTCCCTTCCCTTTTTGAAGAGTCCAGTCCAGTCACCTGCATCTCTACTAAATTTAAATGCCCAGGTCAAAATTGACAAATTTTGCGCATGCTCCGCCTAAGTGTGCGGATTCTCCGCATGCCACCTAATGTTAGTGTTCTCAAAGTGGCACCTGCATCACTAGCAAGTTTGATCGTCCCAGGTCCAAATTAAAATTTTTGCGCACGCCCCGCCTCCAGCTTGCAGAATCTGCACCTGTCAAATCCCTATCTTGCCGCCTGTATCTCCCCCGGATTCGAACAACCCAGGCTCACGGGAACAGGAGTTATATATTTTCGGTGAATTACACTTTTCGCGCACGCGCCGACTCTTGTGGGCAGGGCCTAGCTTGATTCACGTGTTCTCAAGTAGCTTGGCTCATTCTCCACCTGTTCCAACCTGGCTAAGCTGTTCTACTCGATTTCCAGAAGGCGCCACATAAAAATGGTTACAGAAAAACCGACAAACAGACGGACATTCGTGGTTTACATATATTTAGTAAGGATCATGCTGCCGATTATAGGTCACGTAAGCGCTCACTGAGGCTTGGAGTGTCTTGGCAAGGCAGAAAGCTCTAAGCAGTCAAGATCGATAGCTGAACAAGCAAACTGGGTTCTCTAAGTACTTCTAATATCAATAGAGTAACCCTACAGAACGTGGTAGTGACTTTCATTCGTGTGGCTCATGCGTCGCGGCAGCCTTGATCGCAAAAGAAGTCGCTGCCAATGAACGTTTGCAAGTTGCACATTTAAAAATGAATTAATCCTTTACCAGCGAGTTATTCCATACGAGCCGGGTCGGCCGGTCAACACCGGACTTCCCTCCTTTTTATGATAAAGTTGTTATTTTCGGCTAGCCCAACAATCCTTCTTCAGAATGAATGATACTTTTAAGAACACGAAATTTGTCAGACTAACAGAGCAGTGCAAAAGGTATTCAGTAGTGCCGATGCTCACGGCTATGATTAGGAGTTTCGATGTGTTGCTCTTAATTGTAAAAGTCACCTATCGGAGATTCAAATGTTAGGCAGAGAACTAGCCATGAATGGTACCCATAAATGTTTTCGAGTGACAATAACGCCCATTATCAGAGTCGTTATCATTAGAGCTTTTTCTACACGGATTTATCAGTAATTGGGAATCCCAGATAATTGACGGTTGGATAAGTTTTGTCACAAGTGATACCGTAGCAAAAGGATACCGTGAACGGTGATATTTCTTCAAGTTACAAACTTTGTGGGTAGCGGTCGTAGTCTAACAGTAAGAAATGAACCAAATTTTCATTTCCTTATGAAGAAATGCCTTTGATCAGTCCCTATTACTGCATTCACCCGTATTATTAAATACCAGTGGGTTGGGTTATCCGGCTTACGCCAGTCCTCGTTCCTTACTTTTACCAAGTAGTTAGGAAGTGTAGTTAGCAGGGCGGGGCATTGATTTTATCCAACACTGAGGTTTAGAGTGCAGAGGAGGGGTAGCCGACCTTACCTGTGCTTAGACCGGTTCTGGGCGAAAGGATATGGTTTTAGCTAAGCCTCAGTACGGGAGGAGCGGCAGATTGGGGATGGGATGATTACCACGGGCAAAAAGCTAGCTAGGATGGGGTACGAGTTGAATATTCAATTGACTCACCCACCTCGGTACCCCTTCCTTAAGACATGCATAGCACGAAGCCGGTACAGATCGAAATCACAGTTTCGATGTACACACTTCACATCACTCTCGTCTCGTCACTCTGCAGTACTCACTCTATTCCATCAACCTACCTACCATGTTGGAAAATGGTTATGAATTTGCGGTCGAAAATCTATTTCGTACACTCCCCGCCCCCGTACGCGGAGTCTGGTCCTGCTACCTGTCATGAGCGTTCCCATCCTACCACTCAAAAATCTACGGTCAAATGCTTCTGCAGTCAATTTTTTAATCGTAGCTCCTCTTCTACTGGATCTAATCGTGCGAAATTTCGACATTTGTAGCGTGCATGTATTGTGAATATTTATCCCTTTTTAACTGCAATCTGATCATGTTCCAGATATCCCAAAGAGCTTGAACAAAAAATCAACTGGGAATATGGACATTGGTCCTCCTGGAATTTCTTTCCTTTTTTCCATGTCCAAAGCTTTCGAGCGCTAATGCCGAAGACAGTGAAGGAGAAAAATGCACATAAGGTGCGAATAACTGTAGACGTTGTCAACTTTGCTTTCAGGGAAGTCTACTACCTCAACAATCACGTTCCCTTAGTTACGTGGATACCCCTGCTTTGCAGTCAAATAGTGTTGGATAGTGTGGAATATGTTTCAGTTCGACAGGTCAAAATTTCGCGCGATTTGTCCCACTGAGAAAAGCGCTGTGTCTGAAAAAGCGTTTGGCCGAAGACTTTTGAGTGCTGCTGTAAATGAGAAGATGGTTCTTGTCACAAGGGGAAGCCAATAATTTGAAGAAATAATTCCATGCCCTAGGTGTTGATTAATATCTCTCGTTTCATTTGTGGGGAACCACTGAGAGAAATGAACCGAGTCTCTTCGGAGATCTCATACTACTCTATATTTGACGTTACAAAGTTAAGGGATGGAATCCAGAGCACAAGTAAAATCGTGAGTGTAGATTTTCTGTTGTTTCTAGGTTTTCTTCCTTAGTAGCTGTAGTTCATTTTGAATCTTTTCATTTACTAATGCGGTTAGGGGCAGAGGATGTGTATCGGTCCTTGGGGTCTATTTATTGGTACCACATCTCTGTCTGGGAAGATGAAAGCGCTAACTCTTACATTGCCCGTTCATCGTAGGCCTTTAAATAGGCCGCTACGATTCTAAATGTCAATCTAATGCGAAGGCGCATCCCAAAACGGGGTTGGTTGACGCCTATAACTTTATCCTTCATCCTTGATGTTGACCAAACTCGTCTGAAGGATTTCGTTTTTCATCGTGCTCTTCATAATTATGTAGATCTAACGTAGATGTTTTCTTGTTACAGGTTTATTGTTAGCGGCTAGAAGTTCTCACGCCGTCTGTCCAGATAATGCAAAAAAGGAACTGGGTCCAGTTATCCTAAATAAGGATGCAGTCATGGTAGACGGGGTGAAATTAATTAGTGACAGTATGGACGTCTGTGAACAAATGTTGGTCAGTTTCCAGTTGTATTTTCTCAGCTATACTGCTTTGGGAAGTTGAAGTATGCAGTCATCATCATTTGATGCAAGTGAATGTGGTGTATGTCACTGCTCTCTTTCACGGTAAATGCGTCAGGATTGGGGAAGAACCTAAAATGTTACCAGTCTTTCTCCTAACTCTTCGAAAGGTCAAGAATGTGCTATGAAAGTAGTATTGGTTGTAACATAGAACCCTTCCTATTTTCTATTCGAGTCCTTGTATCCTGTCAATTCTTTGAAATAATTTGTTCTAAAACCTTTGTATTACGACCATTTCACTTTTTTAAATTTGAAATTTGACTCTTGTGAAGTAATCTCGTGGTTGACCACATGCGCTATTTTGGTCGAAAAACTGTCACAACATGAGTTGCAGGCGTGATTGATGAATTTTCTTTCTTTATTAAATTCCTTCATATCATTTAGCGCTTGAAGTTTGTGTTGTTCTGAGAAAGGATGGCATACGTGGTCCGATTTAGGACAGAAAATCGATCACATCTTGTAGCCAGTTGTGCAAATACAATAAGCGCTTCGTGCTGCATCTACCAGTTCAAAATTTGGGTTTCCCTGTGTTCGGCAATTGCTGTCATACTTTTCTTTATTCAGTCACATGTGTTTTCGTCGAGAATTTGCAGTGCGATGCAAGATAACCTTACCAGTAAGAGAACTCCCTGTGGTTAAGTGGCATGTATATGTTAGAACACGGAGGGTAGGAATGGTTTTTTGCCAACTGCTATTCTTTTTTACCCATCCTTTTTACTTATCGCTCCATCTCTTCCGTCCCTACCTCATTCTTAGCTCACGCACGCACACCACCCCTTTACACCTGTTTTCACCATGTGGTGGTAGAGGCTATTGCGTCTTTTTTTTATTAGCGTCTTCTGTTCCTATGCCAGGTTTACTGTAGGGTTGATTGATCATTATCATGATCATACTGTAGGATAAGTGCGCTGACCTGTGAATAGACACGGCTTCTGTCGGTCGTCCTGTCTGCTGCGATTTCGGAGCAATGCTAAACGTGTGAGCCCATCTCGATGCACGATTGCTTATCACAATCTTTCATGTGCTTTTGAACTCAGCAGTATTTCTGTGTTAGAGCCATATGCTCAATGCTTGATCACCAGATTTCGTACCTGTTCTAGGAGTTTCTTAGCCATGAGAATAACAACTATAATATATTTTCTGCCATCGGTCCCCAAGGTGCTGGCAAATCAACTATCCTGAGCATGATTGGGGGAAATAATTCACAAGACATGTACAGGTAATTAGTATTGTGAGTAATCCCTAATCAGATAGTGTTAATATTCTTTTTTGCCAGACAGTACATTTTCCGCCCGGCCTCCCGCGAAGCATTGGAGAGCTCTCGTCATCAAACTACAAAAATTCATGCTTATGTCACGAAGTCTAAGCAGATCTTTCTTGACTGCCAGGTATTTTTTTTTTGCGGAATGCTGACACTATCTGTCCTAGTATCTACTTTGAATTATTTCTAGGCCTCCAATTGTGCTTCTGTGCTGGAAGAAACCCTGAGATATAGTCGGTCACCTCTGACAGATGGACGTTATGCCATAAATAATTACATCGAGGTATCATTACTATATATAACGCGCTTGCGTCTGTCTTTCTGTCACGGAATTACCTGAAAAAGCACCTGGAGAGGTCGGATCAAGTTTGGACTGGAATGAGCATTGGATAAGTATTACAACAGAACGCATGTGAGTTTACGAAGCCTCGTCAATAGGAGGCGGTACATGAGTCAGAGATGGGTAGTGCTGTGAGCATTACCTCCCAAATTGGTTTCATAACAGTCCACACGGTGTAGAAATGAGCAAAGTGATCGATGGTCGTTGGAGCACTCACACAATGAATTTTCCGCAGACTTCATAACTTGATTCATTGACGCGTGGAATCGAGAGAAGAAATAAACGGAGTGAGCAATGTCTCACGCGTGTTGAGCATGCACAAACGTAACGAAGCTCCTCCCACGAGCGATGGGGCGTGCATTGAAATGAGGGCTACTTTTCGAAAATAACTGTAGCTTTGTTCAAAAGCGTTCTAGAACGAGGGTAAAAAATGATTGGATAGAAAAGGAGGACTGTGATCGAGTCCTCGAAGTGGGCAGGGCTTGTACTGAATGGGCGGAGCGTGGAACCTCATCATTAATTACTACGTATGATATCATCATGCTCACTTGCTGTAATAATGAATTACTTCCTGTCTGTCTCTTTGTCCCGAAATTCGGTACTATGTATCTGAAGAAGTCGGGTCAGCTTTGGGATGGCTGGGACTTCGCGCAAGATCAACAGAACCTATATGAGCTTAGGGATCCCCGCTCTCATGGGACGGAAAATGCATAGGAATGGGCAGCGAAATGAGAAAACGACATAATTTCTCTCCAAAAAGCCCAGACTCCGGGAAAATGGGCAAAGGTTAGGTATTGGTCAACAGGGTGGACGAAGGAGACTTATCCGCGTGAGCGGAGCTTCTCGACTTTTTTTTACATAAATTCAGTACCCACCACAATGTCTAGTCAGATTCCTAAGGGAAGGAGCTAGAGAAAAATTCATCTGTTTGACGCGTTCTTAATTTGAAGCATGGATTAGTGTGCGGTGCCCAACTGATTTAGAATAATACAGGGTGCGCCTTAAATATGGTAACAACTTTTCGGACGTCCTAAATTTTCTTGTTTGGAGGATTTCTCCAAAACTGCACCCTCCCTCATGTTTACGACATACCTTAAACTACATATATACTTTGGTGCTCTCGATTCGTCAGATATCGAGAAACGGTGGAGTCTCGCAGACATCCACCGACCGTTCCGTCTTTGCGCGCATTTGGTGAGTCCCTTTCCGGAATTGCTCCTCGTATCAACATTTCCCCATTGACAGTCTCTTGAATCGCGATGCGTAGGCAGGTCGGGGCAAACCTCCAGATGGTCGTCTTGTCTCACATACGACAAATTTTCCGAATACAATTGATCGGGAAGGAGTACGCGGCGGAACCTGCAGAAACACGTGAAAAATGACTGCTGATTTGTTTGTATGTTCTACTCCGATGAGAACAGTCTACCCCTGGTAAATACAATTGTACAAAGATAAGATTCAAGAGCCGTATAAGCTTTTTGACGAGAAGAAGTTGGACAGAAAAAACAAATGCCGTGCGCCACTTGCGCGCGGCACGCACTTCGACAAACCCTTTCTTTACTAAAGGGTATTCAGCGTGGAAGGAATATTGAGATCCCAAAGTATACATATATTTCACACTTGGAGCGCTGAAACTGCTGAGGAGAGTCAGATCGCCTCTCATACCCGTTTTCCCTCTTTGATGATAATTTTTGCTAAAACACTACCATCAGAGCGATATCGCAAAATTTGGTCGAAAAAGTACAAAATTTAATCCAAAACTTTTCAGGAAAGGTCCTTCTGAAAGGATTCAGCTGGGGGTCAAAGATTTTCTTGGGGATACGACTGAAAAACTGCGGCGCACCTGTACACGAATGGGAAAAGACCGGTGCTGAGGGAATGTTAGCGGCTTTATCCCAGCTCCCAATCCTCCTACGAACTTCTCGGTCTACAACGTGATGAGTTGCTGGATATAGTTCATACTGGAGAGCGAAGCTGCGCTTCATAAAACACCACTGTTGCTGCTCATAAAAAATTATTGAAAAAATTCCAAGCTGGAGTTTCTCACGGCGTGCCGCCGTCGATGAGTAGCCGAGGCATCTTTGAGCTATAATTAGTACGGGAGGCGGCTATATGAGATGACCGTGTGTTCATTTTGTAGATGTGATGCATATTGAATACCTCCTATGAATTCACTTTGTATCATTATGAACTGTGGTTTTTGCAGCCTAATTCTTTTGTTACCATATTTATGGCGCACCCTGTACTTGGGCCCATACTCCCCCCCCCCCCCCCCCCCCCCCCCCCTCCCCTCCCTCCCATCCTTGGTAGGTTCTTATGAGAGATAGAAAGTTGTAAGTTGTTCACCTTTGAGTCTCTTTAGAGAGCTTTGTTTATAGATTGATGTATTAGCTTACGCAATAGTCTGAAGTGAGACATAAACTTACAAGTGCTGTATTGTGACTAAAAAACATCTGTTGCCATCGGATCATCATCACACTAGCCCTGCCTCGAAGTTACAACCAGTGACATTCAAATATGTCGCCGAGCGCTTCTCATGTGAACAATATCGAGGGACCAACTTCTGACACTCGTCTTCTACGATGATGTCGCGGCTCTGGTGCTGGTTCCCTTGACTACAACACCTACAGCAACGCTCAAATTCTTCGGCCAAATGCTTCTTCAGTTTCACTTTTCAGTCGTCGCCTTTGCTACTGTATGTAATCATGCGAAATTTCAATATGTATAGCATCGATGTATTGTGAGTACTTACCTTTATTAGCCTGCAATCTGATCATGCTCTAGATATATTTGGAGCTCGAACTAAAAATCAATTGGAAGTACCGATGATGGTCCTTCTAGAGCCTCTTTCCTTTCTGCCATGTCTAAAGTGCACGAGCACTAATGCCGAGCTCAGTAGAGGAGAAAAACGCACATAAAGTGCGAATAACTGCAGGGGTCGCTAACTTTTAACGAAGTCTACTACCGCAACAAACCCTTGCTCCTATGTACTGCTTATGTGGATGTACTGCTTGCAATCAAATAGTGTTTGGTAGTGTGAGATATGCTCTAGTTAAACATATGAAAATTTCGCGCGATTTGGTCCACTAAGAAAAAAGTTAAGAACGAAAAAGCGTCAAAGCGTTTGGCCGAAGACTTTTGAGCGCTATGTATATTGATTCGCAGAAGACCTTCTACAGTTAGTCGTTTTAATATTCGCTTTCATTATACGACACTTGAACGAGGATCCTCGAGTTGGCGTTCAGTCGCTAGAGTTGATGAGCGACTTCTCAACGGAGTGAAATGAAGAAGGGACCATGCCTTGCGAGCGGGCAGTCGACGGGGTTTAGCAGAGCAACGTCGTTCAACACCTTCAGAAACATAGTTACAGGAATGCTCTTGCTCGATGATTTTGCACCAACTGACCGACGGCTACCGCGTGCCTCAATTAGTCAGTCGTTTCTCCTCACCCCAAACGGAAGGAGTTTCTGCACGCGGGATACGATACAGGAAGTAGTCGCTGTCTGTCTCCTCAGTGAAGGAGATCGCTCGTGCAACCTAAACAAAAACAGCATAAGAGGGGGTAATTCGTGTCACATGGAATTGTCTGGAATGCCGTTTGCACTTTCTATTCTACTGGCTTCTTCCCTTTTGACATCACTTCTGAACTACAGCTAGCAGTCCATGGTCAAAAAGAAGCTCGCCAGTTTTTGTGACCTCAAACTGCTGGCTTACTCCTCCGACTCACAGTGCTTCTTTTTCAGATAGGAGAATAGCCTACCTGTCCCCTCGCTGAGTGAAAGTCATAGCTACTAACGCTGGTTATATGGTTAAGTGTGTAAGGTTCAAGTGAATTCGGAAGAAATTTAAAATGAGCATTAAATAAGAGTTTGGCATCAATATAATACTTGCTACAATAATACTAATGAACACTTGCTATAATAATACCTAATTAAGTTTGTGTAACTGGATGCCTGTATAAGATCAATGCAAAAGTCTTGTTTAATGCTGGAACAGAAGAAGGCGATTCTCAAACAGCTGTGTGAGTGCTGAATGACAAATGGCGTTCTCATTTGCTCCTAAAATTTCGCTAATGCTTGCAGTCGATTAGCGCCAGTGAGTAAAAACATTGTCGCGAACCAAACGCTTTTCTATGTATGTCAATCCCTTTTTTGTTAGCATCTAATGTCTGCCACTGAGTAGTCAAAACTTTCCAGATCGTGAAACTGATGGCTTTTCTAATTCAAATCTCTCACACAGTTCTTATCTGTTCGGATTGGCTCATCGATATTGAAATGGTTAAGGTATGTTTCTGCTTTGTGTTTTATTTTGAGTCCATTTGGGCTACGCACGCTAATGCGTGTCCCACATGCCCACTACCGCTTACGTACGACTTGTTAGAGGACCAATATGAACAGTATCTGTTGACTTCCCATTTCATAACTGTTTCCTCGCCACGCACACGTAACATTCACACTTCACTTCACATCGGCCTACGTAACATTCGGGAGGGCGCACAAACGGGCATACAAACAGACGCACTAAATTACCGCTTAATATATCGAGACAGTCTTACCGCCCGGCTCACGCTGGGCTTCCCTCCTTCTTATGATAAGTTGTGATAAACGGCAAACAGCAACTCCTTTGGAACGAATGATACTTTTTGGAACACGAAGTTCGATATAGGAACAATAGGGCATGCAAACGACATCCAAAATGTGCCGATGCCTTGCCTTTGAATAGGATCTGTCTGTCTCGATCTGTCGCTGTTGATGTTAAAGGTAATGACCCTTCGAAGATTTAACTGATAGGCATTCAAAGCCTTGAATGGTACTCCCAATTGTTGCCAAGTCATAATAATACCATTATCAAATGTCTTTATGAATGTAGCTCCTTTTATCTACGGATACATCATTAAATGAGAATCTAAGATTATTAGCGGTCGGATAAGTTTTGCCATGAATGATATCAAAGCAGAGAGAAACCATGATTCTTCATCGAATCGCAAACTTCGCTGGGTA